GGGGGCAGGTCCAGAGAACTGGGACCCTGTGGTAGGGCTCAAGTGGTCCCAGTCACCCAGGACCGAAGCTCCTTCTAGCAGCACCAGTTGCTTCCTCTGCTTAGGGGGCAGCAGGCCACAGCAGGCCTGCCCTTACTCTGGCATTCACTGGGCACTGAGTCTCTGGACCGCAGTGTTCACACCATAACGATGCAAGCACTAGACTGTACACTCGCCAAGGGCAGTTCTGACACAAAGGTAGACAGGAGAATGTGCGAAGGAGCCCACGACACTCGCAGCCCTTTGCAAAGGCTGCTGGCTCTCAGCATCACTGCCTGAGTCTTTTGAAAAGTGTGTAGATGGCCGAAACCGGTTTGGCTCAGCGGTAGAGCGTTGGTCTGCGGACTGAAAGGTCCCGGGTTTGATTCCGGTCAGGGGCATGTACCTTGGTTGCTGGAGCATCCCCAGTGGGGGGTATGCAGGAGGCAGCCGGTCGATGCTTCTCTCTCATCGACGTTTCTGGCTCTCTATCTCTCTCCCTTCCTCTCTGTAAAAAAAATCAATAAAATATATTTTTAAAAAAAGTGTGTAGATGTTTCCCTCTAATTGAGGGAAGCTCCCCCTCAGTGGCTCTGGGTGCCTCGTCCCCCAGAGCCTTGAAAAGCTGTGTCTGGTGGTTCCCCTCTCTCCTCTCCTCTTATGCCTCCAGCCCTGAGGCAGTGCTTCTGAGCTACTATCCACTCTGAAAGGCACAGTGGCATTGAGCTCTGAAACTGAGCTCCCAGCTGCACTGAGACGTCCAACTTTCCTCACCCACTTCTCAGCAGAGCAATGGAGGACAGTGTGTGGGAGGTGAAAATGGTTATTGGCAGCTATACTTATTGAGTAAAGAGGTGTCCATGAAATAAGCAACTGGTAGTTTCTGGTGAGCCCTGATAGCGATCATTACAGTGAAATATTATTCTGATTAAGCCACCCTCCGTCCTTCAGTGCTATGCTGGTTCCGTGACCCACCTCTGGTTCATCCAGCCTGCGTTTGTGGACATTCTCCCCAGGCCAGCCCCTGTGTGAGTAACTGCTCTCCCCAATATGCCATTTTAGCATTTCAGATGCTTCCTTCTGCATCTGAGATGGACCTTTTCATCCTAGCTACTAACATTAATTTATCTCAACAAAGATTTGTTCCCAGCACTAAAAACTTAAAAAAAAAAAAAAAGTACATCTGGGGGAAAATGGTTCCTGAATTAGGTTGGCTGGCCATCTTCTCAAACAGGGGCCGGGCCTGCTAGAAGTCAGAGGTTGCCATGGCCAGCAGTCTAAACATGTCCAGCTCTGGTCCACAGCAGCTGCCTTTGTAAATTCTCCAGTGTCAGGGAGCCACAGGATTCCTGTCTTCCTCTGGGTCCTCAGGCTGAGGAAGTCCTGAGCTGAACACAGCCTATAGCATCTAAAGATGGACGTCTGCATCATGTCTCAGCCCCTGGGTGGCCAAATTGTGTGGCTGAACTTGGAACTCTGTTCAGACTTCGTGCTGCCTCTCAGCCTTGGCTGTCTTGGGCTTTCTGGTCCAGCTGACCAGATGTCCTGTCAATTTTGCCATTTAATGCTTACAAGGGCCAGATCTTTTCCTAGGCCCTTCACACGTATTGTCTCTATTTAAATAAACCCTCAAGAGAACCTCATGAGCCAGGCGCTCAGTGCAGCCCCTCAGAGATTCCGACTTCATAATTGTGAAATGCAGAATTGGTCCCTTACCTAAGACTATTCCGTCCCCTGGTGTCGGAGCTAACACAGGGCTATCCAGATGAATCTCACATGGCAGATTTGTGGATGTCACAGACCTGACAGAGATAATTTTGGATGAGGGTCTTTTTTGGCGTTCTCTGAGCCATGCACTGCGAAGGACTGTCACTCTGTCCCTGGATGACACGCCCAGCTCTCAGTCTTAGAGCATTTCAATTACATGGTCAACTAACAGGAAATGCTGCTTCTCTTCTCCCCTCGACGACATCCTTCACAAGATGACTGCCCCTGGTATTGTCAACTCATGAAAATACTTCTGGGAAATGAATGTCTCCCTGTCACCATCCTCCCCGGCACTCCCCCGGGGCCCAGGTGCTCCCTGGGCAACGGGCTGGTGGGAGCCGGCCTCCTGATGCAGATACTGAGATGGAGAGGCAGCTTCTCCCCATCCATCAGTCCTAACTGCATTCGAACGTTTTCAATCTGTGGGTTCCTCGGCCGCGTTCACTGTATGGAAAACAAAATAGAGGGAAATGATTATTGGCACAAAACAGGGACACGGTAAATCTTCCAATCAGATACGGGACAGAGTGGAACAATATGAGTCCTCCAAGGTTGCCACCATAATGTACCCAATACCTCTTCTCGGGCACGGCAGCAGTCTGCTTTCAATCAATCTCGCTTTTTCTGAACAAAAATACCAATTATGTTGAAGGAAGATTTTCCCCCCCTCCCTTTTTGATAAAGACTGCTCTCTACCCCAGAAGGCATGCTATAATGAACAGACATATATTTTAAATCGTAGAGAATGGTATTGGACAGCTAACACCAAATGAGAAAAGTCAATCCTTTTTTTTTTTTTTTCCTTCTGTCTCCTGCCAGCATTCGTCTTACTTCTTAAGAGAAGTGAAAGCTAATTAAAGGCTTAAGGGATAATATTGATTGCATTGGAATATATTTTATATGTACCCAGCACATTTTCAACGAAGAGAACCCTGACTCTAAGGCCGAATAAATCAGCAGCTGAGCCTTTGATTCAAGGGTGAGAGGGTGAACTCCTCCCCTCCCCTTCCACTTCTCATCCAGCTGTCCCAGAGATGAATGGTTTTGGAGGAGGAAGCGGGATGCTGGCAGATGTTCATTCAGTTCTTCGTGCACAGGATAGGAAGGATGGATGTTCAGGCATCTCTCTGGCCCTCTCATTGATTTGAGTCCAGCTTTGAATAATAACCAGTCTTATGCTGGTGTAGAACTGTGGGCTTTGCAATGCCTGGGGTAGGAGCTGGCTGGGGTATTAACCTCTCAGTTCCCTCATCTGCTAGATGGGGAGAAGAAGCTTGCCCTGGATCACATGTCCTCGGGGCAGAGTAGGGAATCCAATCTGGCTCCCTTTCACATCCCTGTAGAGGGGCCCTTACCTTGGACCATGCTGGCCTTGGTCTCCATCAGGGAAGTTTGTGAGCAGAAAGTATCAGCATTGCCTCCACTGTCTTTTGTGGAGAGGTCAAGTTCACAATCAGAAGTCTTATTGAGATCACACAAATTCACGTGCAGCCTGTTTTGTCCATGTAGATGCACATGTATGACAACAAGCATGTTAAGCTATGATGTGATAAAAATGCATATAATCCAAGTGTTTCATTCACTTCGCATACCCAGACATACTGTGTATTTTAGGAAGCTGCTGGGTGTATGGGTTTTGAGTGTAGAATTTGGTTGGGTGGTCACAGGACCTCCCTCAACCCGGCAGGCACGGACTCGAGCCCAGTGATCATGCGCACACGGCTCCTCTGCGGAAGCCCCTGACTCCTCCCTCCCTGATGGCCGCTGCTCGCCGATCGCTAAGTGCAGCTCCGTAACAATAACAGTCCGTAATGGTGATATTATGAACTGCGCCGCGCGTATTATTGATTTACTCTTTGTTCTGCATCATTATCCTTTCACCAATGAGTTTACTGCATTATTCTCACATACTTAGTCAAGCACCAAATTACAAGGAAAGGGCAGGCTCTTGTAATGGCATCTAATGGAACATTGCATAAGTGATCATCATGCCTCCTATTACGGGCCGCCTCCAGCCAATGCGCTCTCCGCTTTATTGCAGTGTGCACAGAGCGGTTATGGAGTGCGAGGGGCCTGGCCATTTTACATTTTCCCACAGAATTACGGTGCTTCTTGTTCACCACGTGCCCATGCCTCACGGCCCAGCCAGGGACTCAGCCTCTGTCCCCCGCGGCCCGAGGCTCACAGGGATCTAGGCTGAGTCCCTTGCAACAACCTCTCTACACTAAGCCAGTACGTCTCCTCTGTACAGCCAGTCCTGACATGGGGCCTGGCACTAACTCGTCACCAATGTGCTTAGTCCTGAGCGATCGAGCACCTTGTAGTGACTGTCTTAGTCAGTGGCCATAGGATAGCCTGGTGTCAATGTCAGATTGGTCCAGGAGCCCAGAGATGCTGGGGGACTCTTGTTCCCACAGTCTAGAGAAGGGGATCCTCCCCCCAAGGCCAGCCACCATCTCCAGAAACAGAAGTCCCTGGGATAAGGCTTCTCCCCATCCGGAGGCTGATCCCTTTGGCCCGCAGAGACGTCCGCGGCACCCTAAGGAAGCAGCTGCCCGGGGACACAGGTCTGCGGCGGATCTTCCATTCCAGACGCGCCCCGTCCCCATTTAGCCCTGAGTAATGCTCACTTACTGTAAAGCATTCCGTGCCCCCATTGTTGGAGGAGTTATGGCGGAAAAATGCAAAATTTTCCTTTTTACTGCTTATGGCCAACAGAGCCCATAATGTGTCAAGCCGCACATTAGCCACCCTGATAAAAGTCCGCTTCCTTACGCACAAAATCATCGTTTCAGCAAGATTTGTTATCTCATTACCTGATAAGCTCTATGTCATAAACCAAGACTCATTCAGTAAATCTCCCGGGAGGACGCTTTGTGGGCAGAAAGGGAGAGATAGGAATCTGCAGGGGACTAGAGAATGCAGCGTTTAAGCGCGAGCATAATGTCACTTATTGTGAAATGTATAAAACCACTTGGCCAAGCGGTTGGGCTTTAATAGGATTTTGAGCGGCATCAGGTGAGACGCCATATGCCTTTTCTGCCGAAGAGCACCTGCCAGCACCGCCACTTTGCCTAGCAGCCTCTGGGGAGGGGAGCTGGGCTCATGGAGCCCCCCAGGACGGTGCTTTCCTGCAGCTGTGCCTCCTCTGTCCTGCTGGGCGTGGGTCCCTGGGTTACGCTGGGCCACTCATCTAACCAGCCTCTCCCATGCAGGCACATTGTGGTCTGTGGACACATCACTCTGGAGAGTGTCTCCAATTTCCTGAAAGACTTCCTGCACAAGGACAGGGACGATGTCAACGTGGAGATCGTCTTTCTTCACAAGTAAGAGGCCCCCGTGGTTCTGAGACCCTCCACTCAACAAGACACCCCGAGCGGGCACCCTGAGTGTCTGCAGGAGTGGGGCTGTGGGCAGGGGAGAGGGCAAGGCAGGGTTGGATGAGATACGACCCCTGCTGGCCTCATTGGGGAGGAAGATCTGAACCAATGGAAAGGCAGTGACACCCTAGTTCTGTGAGAGCAGCTCCTGCCTCTGTGAAGGTGATTCTGGCAAGTAACAGCGGAGTTTATGATGGGTCACACATGTCATTACTGTCTCCTCGGCTTCTGGATCTTTGTGATCCACGTGTGTCCCCAGTGTCTGGTACGGAATGATGAGCGGTGTGGTGTGGATACTTTGTGATTGAAGGGGTGACATAGGAAAACATAAATGTAACAGGAAGCAGGATGTAAGGTACTAATAACCACAGTAACCATGGTTCCCAGAAACCTTCAATGAGGAGCATTGTGCTCGCTGGTCACTATACATACAGTCCCTCCTTTAATCAACAGAGGGAGCAGAGGACATGCTCTGGATTCTGAATAACCGATCTGAACCTTGGGTCAACCAATTACTTGCTGAACCTTTCTGGGCCTCAGTTTCCACATCCAAAAGATGGGGACATCATCATGGTTTCTACCTACATCCTTGGGCTGTTGTGAGAATGAAAAGAAGTAATCCATGTAATGTACACAGAGCAGGATCAGGCATGCAGCAGCTACTCAATCAATGGTCACTATTATTGAGAAATATAAAATATATTAGGTCACATAACTGATTTAGAAGTTATGTCTTACTATATTTGATTTACAGGTGAGGGAATCAAGGTAGCTCCCCTCTGCTCAATGTTGATGATATTTTAAGCTTTGCCTCATCCCCTTTAAGGAAAAGGTAATCTGCACAGGGATGGAGAGTGGGGGGCTCAAGCATGTTGACATGCATTGATCTGTCTTCTTTTAGAGATGGGCCATCCAGGGACCAGCCCTAGCCATAAGTTGCCAGAAGAACAAAGCTTACATGTCAGTGTTGGCTCACTATATGGAGTTGACCACTCAGGACTCAGTCCTGCTTCAAGAGCCTTCTCAGGTTGATCTCCCTACTAGCTCCCATTCTGTGCACCTTCCTCCTCCGGGCATTTGTTCACCAATACCAAACTGGTCACCAGGTTTGAGCACCAGCATTTTTCTTCTCAGCACCGACTTCTCTAAGTTCTGAAAAGGCTGGCCAGGCCATGGGCCCAGGAGCAGAACCCACAGAACAGTTCAGAGCTAGCTGCTGATTCCCAGTTGTGGGGCCCATCTTCCACTGAGCCTTATAGAAGCTTCAAGAGAAGTGTAGTGTGTACTCCTCCTATTGGTTGAACATTTCAAGAAGAGCACATGTGTGACATCAGAGCACAGCAGTGGTCTATCCTAACTGGCTGAAGTCAGTTTAACCAGGTGGCAGACTGGCCTGGGGCATCTCTACCAGGAATGAAGCATGGCCGTACTGGCTCTGGGGGACTGGAAAGATTTGCATAGACAGCCCCTCTTCTCTCACCCAGAGCTTCAGTCAGAATCAAGTTGGCTGCTAATGTTTCCAGCATCAGGGTTCCCCTGTGTCCCCAGCATCGATTCTTGTCAGCATCGAAGTAGATGGCCCAGTTAATTAACCTCTTGAAGCTTTGTGTTAATAACATACCTTCTCAAGTGTCCTTCTGAGGTTTAAATGAGTTAATACTTGCAAGTGTTTAGCATGGTATCTGCCATGCACTAAACGCTCAAAGCATTAAAAGTTATTAAGATTAGGTACTCAGTAAATGTTAGTCGTGTTGTTAACACTATCCCCGGCACCAAGTAGGTTCTAACTAAATATGATCTCCCAGTGCCTAGTATAGCACCATACAGAGTAGGTTTGTTCATTTTGCAGAATGAATGAATGAATGAATGAATGAATGAATTGGACAGTCAGTGTTTTAATCTTTGTCCTCCAGTGGAAAGATGTCCTTACAGCTCAGTCCTAAGAATGATGAATGGTGTATACCCCATGAATCAATAATAGTAGTGCGAGTAAAAGAACTCTGGGTGTGGCTGCACAGAGGTGACATGTTTGGGGATGAGGAGTCCACGAGGTGGAGAAGCAGGGAAAAGGCTTTTGATGGAAGGAACGGCACTACCAAGGGAACCTGTGGCTAACCATGATGTCACAACCTCAGTTTCTCTATTTATAAAATAGGAATTCCATTCATAATGAAGTCGAAGACATTTCACCCCATATGTCTCAGACTTGGCAAAAGTCTGGGCCTGTTTATTTTGCCTGGTATTCGGTTTGGTTCAGTAGGTTTTATCTCTCTTGAGTGCAAGCCTTTTATTTATGACGAGCTTGGGAGCTGCCCTGAAGGAGAAAGCTTTTTCCCAGGCCTCCCTCTGCGGGAGTCAAGAGAAGAGGGCCTGGAGGCTGCAATACCTGCGTCTGTCATATTAATGGCGGTCTCTTCTCTCCCTGCACAGCATTTCCCCCAACCTGGAGCTGGAAGCTCTATTCAAACGACATTTTACTCAGGTGGAATTTTATCAGGGTTCAGTCCTCAACCCACATGATCTTGCGAGAGTCAAGGTAAGAAGGAAGGAGTGACCTCTTCTTTTCCTCCACCTAAGAGGGGGGCACCTGACTCAGTGGTAAGGGAATATGCCTCCCAGGATGGCCAAGAATCACCTCCCAACCCCTAATGAGAGAAGTCAGATACCACTATCTTGGCATCACCTTTACATAGACCCCAGGGCTTGGTTCTGCTGGCACTTGCTAGACCACTTGTGAGCATTCCGTACTGGAACTACTTGGAGCATGGAACTTCCTTTGCTAAAGGAAGCAGACTAGTTGTGTGGATTCAGTAGTCTCCCATACAAGATAATCATCAAGTTATTCCCATCTCAAATACTTAAGTAGGATTCAATGTAGCTCTGAAATCAATTATTTATATCCAAAAGGAACTCTAAGGGTAAAATCCTATATAATAAAAGGCTAATATGCAAATTGACTGAATGGAGGAATGACTGGTTGCTATGTTATGCACTGACCACCAGGGGGCAGACACTCAACATAGGAGCTACCCCTTGGTAGTCAGTGCACTCCCACAGGGGAGCACCACTTAAGGAGAAGCCCGGCTCATGGCTGGTAAGTGCAGTGGTGGTGGCGGCACTCAGGATGCCCAACTGTGGCTTAGGCCTGCTCCCCCCCTGTCAGTAGGAATTCCCTGAGGGCTCAGGCCAGGCTAAAAGACCACCCTGAGTACGCAAATCTTGTGCACTGGGCCTCTAGTTTAAAATAAAAATTTATCAAGCCATAAAACATTTTGAGCTTCCTTCTTCCCCCCACCAAAAGACTAAGATGTGGAACTAAACATACAGGTATCTGATATCACTTTGTAAAGGACTAATTTTTCTTTCCAGCACCTGCTAAGGTAGAATCTTTTTAGAAAGCACACGCGAGGCTTATAAGGGGACGGGGTATAGCAAAGTGGCCTCTGCCACTCTACCCATTGCACTCTACCGGTTTTGTAAGCACGCTCTGAGTTTGCACAACAGTAAGTGTATACAATTGTGAAGCCACTGACATCTGATGCTAACTGCAGTCACCACACCATTCAGTAACCATGTAATGGGCAAACACGAATAAGCCAAAAGGACTTGAGTAAATTCTCTGGACTATTAAAGAAAACCAGAGACACTGTGACGTACGATGGGGGAGACCACACCCTCCCTCCAAATGCAAGAGGGTCTGCTAAGTACAGCATGCCAAGTGGGACAGGCTGCAGGCCTGCGCCAGCATGAGAATTCTTACGGAGTCCAGTTCATCTTAATTTCCCCCAGACATGGTCCAAGTTATGGCTATTGTGGAAGCTCATGAGAACTTCAAGAAAATAGTTATTGTTCTTGGACTTAATTTCGATGTAGGCAGTTATTAGCTCTACTCACAAACCCCTCAAAGGAATAAACCATTTGGGGCTCATGTTCAGATAAGTTAGTAAGTTAAAATTTGAGATAGTCTGTTACACATCATTTCATACCTACAGATGTGTTGTCTTTTGAATATATGAATGCTAATTGAATACTAAACAGCAGTGGTTCAGGACTCTCATTTCCTTTTATTTGCCAGATAAGATGTGAACAGGGTTAGAGGGAGAACGTTGGAGTCTAAATGGCTGAATCTCCAACTCCTCAGTTACCTTGGTAACCTGAGTGGATGGGTTTAGCCCACCTAACTCCATTTCCCATCTGGAAAAATTAGGATCATGGTGGGGAAAGGAGGTGGGGCGGGGGTGGAGGTACTAAAAGGCTTAGTTCATTGCTCTTTAAAGAAATCTGAGAAGCTCACACGTAAGACTATGCAAAATGAACAGTATAATTACTAAGGTACGTGCTGTTCCTTCCACCAGCAACCAGATGAATTGTTTATATCATAACAAGACTTTGCAACCTACATTTTAAACACAAACTGTAGTCTCTCAGGATTCTTTTAAAAAATTCCCTTGCAACGCACCAGGTTCCCCAAGAGCTGCCAATAGTGAGTGACTGCCTCCGAGCCTGGCTATTTATGTGTTTGTGCCTGTGGTTTTCCTTTTGGTGTCTTAGATAGAGTCAGCAGATGCGTGCCTCATCCTTGCCAATAAGTACTGCGCAGACCCTGATGCTGAAGATGCCTCCAACATCATGAGGTAACATCTGTGGGTGGGGGGAAGGCTCTGGGCTCGGGGCTCTGTGGCCCATTTGCTCCCCTTTGGGTCCTCTACAGCATCTCCTCCATAATCGACCTGCCTAGGCCTGGGGGGAGCTGAGGCTGTGCTGGGTGTGGAGAGCAGTGACACAAGGCATAGTCCATAGGAAGTTCATCCTGAGAAGATGGGAGCTCTGGGTCTTGAATTTCAGATCTTTTAGACAGGACCAAAAGGAATGGTACATTTAGAGGGGTGTGACCTGGAGTAAGGTGCCATGTTTCCTAAGAGGAAATGGACCTGAAATACCTAAACAGGGATGTGGTTTCGTCTCATGGGACCTTTTGAAACATCTGGAGATGTTCTTGGTTGTCGTCCTGCTCATGTCTGCTGGGTAGAGACCAGTAACACTGCCCAATATCCTACAATGCAAAAGCCAGTGTCACACAGCAGAGAATCGGTCTGGCCCCAAATTTCAATAGTGCCTGGGAGGAAGCCCCATCTTAGAGCTTTCCAAGTGTGTCTATAGCACATGGATTCATTTCATCCACAAGGGGAGTTGGTTCTCCAATTAGTTTGTTTCCACCAGTCTCCCTGAATGAAATAGTTTTGTTTACTGAAAACCTTCTCAGTGCTTTTAATACTAATATGAATGATAAAAATAATGTGCTCTAGAGAATTTCTCAAACCTATTTGACTACAAGCCCTGGCCCCCATTTTTACAGAACATCTGGGGGGGGGGCTACTCTTTGGATAACACTTCCCAGTACCCTTCCTGCAAATGGCCTAAGCCTATCAGAGGCCATTCTCTGCCCAACTCTTACCCCTCACTGTTTCAGAAGAAAACTGTTGTTCTGTTTTTATTCTTTGCATAGACCCATATCCAGACATATTGTGACTATGAGATACTTAAAAGGTTAAGGTATTTTTGCTCCAGATAGCTAAAGCTTTTTTGAAATCTTACCTCCTGTAGCAAAAACTGCAGAGTAGTTAAGAGGGAAGGGTAAAAAGAATCTTCTGGAGAAGAGATGACCTAAGAGAAAACATGTCACTCACACTGTATTCCTGGGAACTCTTACCTAATTGTGAACAGTCATCTTTGGGGTCTAGACAAAGATTCCCTCCCTGCAGCTTGGTTTACTGTGCCCTGGGAATTTGCCCTGACTGTCCCAAGATGGGGGCTGGGGAAGTTGCCTTTGCATCATCACAATGTTGGAACCTCCTTTCTGTGCCTTTAATCAGTGGCCCCAAGTGACACGTGCTTCCCCATTGAGGAGGTGGGGGGATTCCTCTATGCTTTTTGGGGGAGAGAGGCCTCCCCTCAGCATCTGGTCCTTGTGTCTGGCAAGCAACATCTGGAGCATTGTTCTCTTTCCACTCACTTTTCTTTGGCAATATGATTACTGCAGTTGTTTTAAGGAAGTTGATGTGTGAGCTCTTGTAAGCATTGGGCTTGCCAGGCTGCAGGAGATGGTGAAGTGAGGACATGCTCCCACACCTGGATCCATCCCCTCACCAGTCACAGCTGGAGAGTGACTACAGCAGCCTCGGTTAAGGTGGCTCAGTCTGCCCTTTCTTTGAACTAGGATTTCACTCCTTCACCACGTTTTCCACATCATATGAAGTGACACAGATGTAGACTTTAAGGCACTAGGCTTTATCTTCAAAATTTCACCCAAAATATCAAAAGAAGATGAAGCTTAATGTATTGATCCCACAGACAAGTTTGAGGGTGGCACTACCCTTTTTTTTTCTTTTTCTCTTCCTTCCTTCCTTCCTTCTTTTCTTTTCTTTTCTTCCTTCCTTCTTTTCTTTCTTTCTTTCTTTCTTTCTTTCTTTCTTTCTTTCTTTCTTTCTTTCTTTCTTTCTTTCTTTCTTTCTTTCTTTCTTTCTTTCTTTCCTTCCTTCCTTCCTTCCTTCCTTCCTTCCTTCCTTCCTTCCTTCCTTCCTTCCTTCCTTCCTTCTTTTTTTTTTTTTTTTTGCCTTCAAAAGTGACTAATTGAAATGATAATAGCTTTGAAATGGGCATTTTTTTTTCTTCATCACAATATCTCATAAAAGCCTTGCCTGTGGTAGGGTTAATGTGAAGACATATATAGGTTACCACGGCATGGTGCCAAGGCATAGAAATTATTGGGCAAAAGTAGTATCAGAAATGTAACTGAGCCATCCATTAGCCAGAATCAGAGCTAAGGCCCAGGCAGCACAAAGAAATGGGAGGCTCGGGGTTAAAAATGGGTTCTGTCTTTCCCTTATTTGTATAATCCTCCTTCCTCCTTAATTTAATGAGTCCAATCTGCCCTGTTTGAAATTAAAATGTCAAAGATCCATTTGAAATGAGCTAATGCAGAAAACTGGCTGAGGCTGTGAACTGAATTCAGAGGGCTGACAGAGGCTCCAAGTCCTTGAGTTATAAGCTCGGGCCAACGCAAGACTTTTTTCAACAATAAAATGAAATCCTTCAAGTGCAGGAGCCCAGGGTGAATTTGTGCAGGAGAGGCTTATGTGTGATCCATTTCCTAAGTGCAGAAGGTGGAGCTTTCCAGACACAGCTGTTCTTGGCCGCCTCTCTCCATCTTCGCATGGCACAAGGATGAAGTGCAGGGTTTCTGAGTGGGAAGTTTGTGGGGGGTAGGGGGTGTCACAATAAATGCACTTGCATTTCTGATTAGGCTCAGGCGGTGGGCCATTCCATGGAATTCCATTCTTGAGCCTTCCTTATCCCAGAAGGAAATGTACAGTGTCACCTCTGACAGAGTCCGTAATGACAAAAACCATAACTTACACGTGGAGAGAGCTTTTAATGATTTCAAAGCATTTTCACATCTGGTCTTTCATTTTGCTGCTCAGACCAAGACTGTGAAATAAATAAAGCAGGTACTGTTGCCCCCGATGTCCAGATGAGGAAACAGTCACAGAGAGACCAGGGATTTCCTGAAGGTCACTAGTTCGCCAGGGCACTAGCTGGGACTGGAGTCCAGGTGTTTATATTCCTCTGCTCCCTGCCCCTCCCCTGGTAGCACGTAATTGTCAGGGGGACTATGGGGGAGCCCAGGCAGGGGCTAATACTGAGTATGGACTGAGGGTAGTTTGGAAGGATTTTGTACTCAAACTCTGGAAGGCCTTGCCCCTTATTCTAACCAGATCAAAGTCATCATTTAGATGCTATTAGCCATTGAAGGCTGAGTCAAGAATCCTGTCCTGGGAGCCCAACTTAGAAATCATTTTTGTGAGTGGCCATGTGTATGACAATTAGAATCACTTGTCTGGTTGCTTGTTCGATTTGTCACTTTTGTCTCAAATTATTACTTGGAGAATTGGATCCATAGCAAATGGTTTCTAGGCTCTTCCCCGGGGTATGAGATTGTAAACCTCCTTTGGCCCCATAAATTGAGATTGCTTTCTTCAGATGCCTCTATAGGCAACACACCTTGACCCTGGCCCCAGAACCCCCTATTCTTAGGACACACTTGCTCACATATCACAGGCCTCTCTCTTCCTTTATGCCCAGGACACTTCTGTGGCCGTTTTATGGTTTCTTTTTACACTACCACGGATACGGTAGTGGAAACACAATTTAACTTGGCCCCATGCCTGCAACCCTTCAGGATGGCACTGGATACTGGCCCCACATACATTCACTCCATTCGGTTATAATCAAATTAATCTTCCCATCAGACTCCAAAGTTAAGGTAAATCATGCTTCAGCTTTCATGTTTTCTTTTTTTAGAGTGATCTCCATAAAGAACTACCACCCGAAGATAAGAATCATCACTCAGATGCTGCAGTATCACAACAAGGTAGGACAGTGAGAGCCTACTGAGGCTCAGAGATGCATATGGGGTCTAGTGTCTTCTCCCTCACCATTCAGCCAAACACATGTGCATACGCATATGCACGCACGCACGCATGCACACACACACACACATGCACACACAACAAAGAAATCCACAGGCCTGAACAAAGTGGGTGCTGGGTAAACCCTCCTTGGGACATTTCTTCAGGCCAAACACCTTGTCTGCAGTTGGTCACTGGAAGGAATCTCCTTCAGGTACCGATTCATTCATTCAGGAAGCATCTGTGGGACCTCCAGGTTCAGATCATTGTTGCACTCAGATTCCATTGCAACACTTCCATTTTTATGTGCTGTACTAATTCCTTCAGTTTGTGTTTACTGAGCACCTACGAGATGGTCAACACTCTGCCTGGCCCCATAATCCCAAGAAGTCCTGTTTTGTGCTCTCAAGGATTTAGTCCTCATGGTGCAGAGACTGTCCCAAATAGGACTCTTCTCCCTGAGACCAGGTGAACCTGGGAGAACAGAACACACATTGGATGGATGGTGAATGTGGAACATGGCATTCTCAAATTCAAGATGAGAACTGCATGATTGAATTCAGGAAAACTAGAGTAAACATAATGGAATCTTCCTAGTGTTAGAGCTTACAAAGGAGATAGGGAAGAAAACAAATGCTGGAGTCTGCGTTGATTCCCAGAGTCCAGGGGCATTCAAAGGCAATGCTCCTCCATTCAAATGATCATTAAACTCCTAGGAAAACAGCTTTGGGGGAGGGAAGGTGGCACTTGTGTCTGTTTGATATGGAACCAGTTATCCCCTTAATGAGGCTTAGAAATCAGGCTGTGCAGCACCTGGAACCAGGTGTCCTGTGTGAACTGAATAACTCCCTGCTGGGTTTTGAGTGACTGTGTGACCCATCTTACAGGCCATATTCCCTACGAAATAGGCAGTCAGGTGACCCAGAGAAGACCCCGCTCTGCCAAATGTGCCAGTGCCACGCCATTATTTCTTAATTGCTGGCAAGGGCGGCCCCATTTTGCTGTGTGGAAGCCCATCAGAGGCTGTCGCTGAGTGGGGCCTGCTGTCGGTGACTGGCTACTCTTGGCGGTGCTCCCCCTGCCAACCATTGCCCAATGCTCGGCAGGTGGTTCCACTGCAGAAGGTGTTGTGCTGCAGCCAGAGGGGTTGGTGGTGGGCAACCAAGGTCACAGTATCCTGTTTGTCTCTGGAAAACCAAGGACACTGAAGGGATACAGTGAGGATATGGGTAACTCACAAGCATCAATTTAGAGAAGTTTTCTGACAGCAGCCCTTGTAGGTGGAGGTAAATTTTCTTAGCAAGGCCATGGCTGGTGACAGCTCCTGGGGTAATGAACTCCCTCCTTCCATTTGAGATTTGAAATTGTATTTCGTGTGAGAGTGCTTGAAGTTGTTATTTAGATTTTTAAGCTGTATTCAGATTGAATAGGAAAATTAACGTTGTATTGTTTACAAAGGGATGTCAGACCCTTCCCTCCTGCTTCCAGTGAGTGCTGATATAGCATCTTCAAAACATTAAGGAGGATTTCAGCTGTGATTCCTGTCAAACTCCAAGCGGCTCCATAGACTCAGGGTCCAGATAGCACCTGGTCAGTGTTCACATGACCACGGCGAGCTCAGGGTCTCCCACAGTCTCTGCACTGTGGCTCTTCAGGAACAATGGGGAAGACATCAGCCAATCTGTGATAATTTGCTTAAAACACACTTTGTTTAGAGCCACCTATCTGTGTGGGTTTAGAGTTAGCCAAACATTACTAGGAGATTCTGCCCTGGAAGTTTAGTAAGGGTGCGAGGGACAGGGAGACTATACACAGGGCCTTTCCTCTCTCATTGCCTTTCTCTCTTCCAGAGAATGAATAGAAATCCACTGTTCATTATTAGTTATCTGATGCCTTGAAGAATTGCAAACAGACATTCTTCCCCTTGCTTTATAATTTTGCTCTGTTTCCTAAGGTCCCCCTACCTACCCTTTCAACATGTTTTTTTCCCACCTTCCATTCAATATTATTTTTTTTCCTCTTTTGGCACTTTTTCTTCACCAGAGATCTCCACCCATGAAAACTTGCTTTCAGAAAGAACCTGGTATGCGTGTATAAACTTATGTCACTGTCAATATATTCCAAGGGATCGTTAATTCCATCATTGGATGCCATGTGTAAAATATAAAGGATCTCAATCCCCTGTGACCAAAGGATTCTGGTATTCTAGGACCAAGAGGGACATAGGGATACTGCCTGCTTTTTCACCATGTAAATCTATCCCTGAGTTTGTTATCATAATAACCTCAGACATTTGTATAATATTTTATGGTTTTACAAGAGCTTTGATATCCATTCTGTCATTGAGTCCTCATTGACCATCTGTGCATTTCAGCTTTCAATGTGACTTCGGACTGGGGCTTCAAGCTCTGATTCAGAGCTGCTCTGGAGGGTAAAAATGATGGTCACTTGGCAGCCAGTGAGCTAAGAGACAGAGCTGCCAACTACCACCTTCTCTTTACATAGAGCCATAGCCCACTGAACCAAACTGTGGCTCCGTAGAGTAGGACCCATAAAAGGGTTGATATTCTCCAGAGGGGGTCTATTTAGTATCACTAGAATCCATGGAGGGAACCATTCACAGCCTAGCCATCTCTGAACATGGAAAGACTGTGGCCCAGATAATTTTCTAATTTGAGTGTAAGTGGCTTGAATCTCTTCAAGGAAAGAATGGTTTATGACATCTTGGAAAAGTGTTACTCCTGATGATCTAGCTCTTACTGGATTTTCTCTCGCAGCTGAAAAATCCAGTAAGAACTAGACTGTAGTGAAAGAGTTCTTTTCTGAACTTGAAGTCAAGTCCTGCTGGTCTGATGGACTTGCAAGTTCCTTGAGCTTCCTCCTGTAAACCCTTATATTTGGGCAGGAGTGCTACAGTGTTTCCTCTGATGTGACCTCTTTGCTCCTCGTGGTGGCTTCCCCAGTTGTATTTTATGTGCAGTGAGAGGTGGGACTGGGGCTGGAATCCAGCTCTCCTGGTTTCCCAGGACAAACTGTCTTACGTTCCTTCTTCTTGAGATGATGAGTGGCCCAGTACAGACCCTGCCCAGCATGTCTATTTCTCTAGGTTGGAAGGATTTGCCTCTGGACTCCCATGTAGCAATGCTGGCCTTCCCCTGGGCCCCACTGCCCTCAAATGAAAAAGAACAGAGTTGGCAGACACCAAGAATTCTAATTCCTGGGTCAATCTCTTGTTTTTGTTTTATGAGCACAGAAATCCCTGGTCCCAGGCTTTGGCATATCCCTTGTGGCTCCCTGCCCCATGATTGCAGAAGATACTGGCGCCAAGAAAGGAAGCCTGAGAAATGAGACTAATGCCTTTCCTCTGTCAACATGTAAACTATGTCTAAGGAACTCAAAACAGATGGGCACATGAGGGACCCAAGGCCTGGACTTCATACCCTGGATAGCACCTGGGGATGTGAGAAACCCTCTTGAGAACTTTCTGTGTGTTTGTTTGAAGGTTCCATGAAGGTTATCTAGTGTCTGGGACTTGATGACTTGGTTGTTCATGAGTTAGATTTAATTGTCCCCCTTCTTTTCAGATGATATTAATGCAAATTAATATATATATTTTTATCTTGGACTGATATGTTATTCTCTATGATGCCAGGAAAGTAAAGGGGAAGATGGCCTTCTTTGGACAGTGTAGAGTAGGGAGAGAAATAGGATAAAGGGCAGGGCTAGTTCTGGATCGAGGATACGATGTGTGGACAGTCTCTGATACTCATCCTGAGGGAAATTGCCATCCGTTATGGCCCACACATGGGGCTGTCTTAACATTGCTGTCATCAGGACGGATACAGTCATCTCTCCCAGGAATAGACTCCTGCTGGGTTAGGATGCACGCGATTGCCATAGAACTGGATTTTGTAAGAAGGGATTTTACAAGAGTGGTATTTCTGAAAGCAGAGCCTGGAGACTTAGGGCCCACCCTTTGTTTCCACGATGGAGTCTTCTATCTCCTTCTAATACAACTGCCTGTCTCATCCAGAGAGTGAAGGGAAGCCTTGTTGGCGCTCTTCCTGTTTGAAGAGAAATCGTCATTTCAGGGCCATGAAGTCTGGCATTGGAAGACCTTGGGTGCCGGCATTCTTGTCCCAGCCTTGCGAAGCATTCAGCAATCTTGAGAAAGGAGCTGATGTATAAATTCAAGAAGGAATCCAAGGAGGAAAGATGATTTTGAAAAGCATTGTGGGTCAGAGGAGCTTCAACTAAAGGAACAGAACACAACCTCCTTGTCTAGGACCCTTGCTTTTATTAACACAATTTGTCCTAAGGCAAGGTGGAGACATACACTTCAAAGGGTAAGGTTTCAAAGGGTAAGCTGCAGAAGCATTGTTAGCTTGGGGGAATAGCCTACAGCTGTTCAGGTGTTTGACCAACAGGAGGCAATAAAATGCCCTGAGCTGTCTGGCAGCAAGTGATTATACTATTTTGGTTTTGGGGAGATGCTTTTTAGCCATCCCAGATGATCCAGCCCTACTGACATGCTGGAATTGGCTCACAGCAGTAGGGGTTCTCTCCATGCAGAGCAAGAGGTCTTTCTGCTGAGACTTGGACACTTACTGAGTTTTAGGGAGAGAAACCTTGCAATGGAGGCAGCCTTCTCTATCTCTTAGACGAATTGCATCCTCAGAAAGTTCCTTTATAAAACAAGCCAAAATTACTGCTTCAGTCCCAATTCTGGCTCCTGGGACAAAACAAGACAAGCCTAATCTCTTCATCACAGCAGCAGCTCCATGATGGCGAGACCTTCTTCAGGCCCCACGCTGCTGCCTGTCTCCTTGTTTTTCAGAAGGGTTGTCCAGAACAGACACTTCTGCTTGTGCTTGTCATGTGTTCTCTGTGAGTGATGCAAGTGGTCACCTTTCCTCCTTAAATCTGACGGTGAGGCTGGATCAGGTTTTCTGGAACCAGCCTGATCCGTTCACATCAGAATGGAACCTTCGTTTTCCTCGATCTGGAGACCATTTCTAACAAGCAGGCATTGCGTTCATTGCAATTTCTCACACAGTTGACCTCTCTTTGGGGTTTAGATACCCACACACTTAAGTTTTTTGTTTTTTTTTTTCTTTTCTGTTTCTTCATGTCTGCTGCCAAGTTAGGTCTTCTCATTTTGAACGTATAGAATTGATTTTCTCAACCTAAATGCTATACTTGACATTATGGCCTTTAAAATCTTTTCTGGTTGTCACCTCCACCCCCTTCCTCATTTTTCCAACTCTGGAGATCTTTTGAATCTTGATTCTTTCATCCAGTGTGTCACCTATGACTGTGCATCGTGCCTCTTAAGTGAAACTGGCTGAGCATGCTCTGGGCCCTGATTTCAGTGCTGACCTAACTGCTGAAGAGGATCTGTCCACCTGCAACAGATGGTGACATGTCCACACTGCCATTTGCCTGATGACTTAGGGCAGTGCAGCTCAGCAGCTCCGCATCACCAGGCCCTTTTAGAAATGCAGATTCTCCAGCCTCACCCTACACACAGGGAATCAAGAACCGTGGGGAATAGGGCCAGCAACGTGCTTGTTCAAACCCTCCAAGTGGTTCTGATGTCCAACCCAAGCTTGGGAGCCACTGATCTGGAGTATTTGGAAGGCAGATAAAATGAAACCTGAAGTACACAGGCATTGGATGGTATTAGAGTCTATTTGAGGAGCCAGTTTGTGAGCAATCTAGTCAGACATCCTAGTAGCATGGGCCTGTGTCACAAGAGGGATTTGCCTCTGGACTCTATTTGACTAAAGGACAAACCCTAGGGGAGGCCTCTGGCTTGGTAGGTACAGAAGCAGTTTCCAGGGAGATCGGAGTCTGATGAAGAGAGTTTAGTAAAACGCCAAGCGCCCGACCTAGGCCCAGAGAAGAAAGGACGAGCCTGGCTTACCCTGCAGCCGTGCAGTGCTGTCTCCCAGGGGAGACTTTAAACAATTGAATGTTTCACAAAGGAAGGTCTCATCAGTGTTTTCTTTCCACAGGCCCATCTGCTAAACATCCCGAGCTGGAACTGGAAGGAGGGTGATGATGCAATCTGCCTCGCGGAGCTGAAGCTGGGGTTCATAGCCCAGAGCTGCCTGGCCCAGGGCCTCTCCACCATGCTCGCCAACCTCTTCTCCATGAGGTCATTCATAAAGGTAACGTCTTGTCCTATTAGAGCACATTAGCCCCAGATTCAATTTGTCGTGGGGTTGAGTAGAGAGCACCGCTTAAACTCAAACCAGATCGATGGGCCTCAACCGCGTTGGTGGGGGAGAAATTCCTTGTTACAGATTTGGGCGAGAGGCCAACTTCTTTCAGAATTATGTTTTTATTTTTATTTGGCACATCCACGGCCATTAAATGATTGTTCAAAGCACAATCCTCTCTTTTTTTAGATAAACCACATGTTTATCTATCAACAAAGCCTCCGCTGTTAAAACAAAAATATGATTTATATACATTCCATATGGCACCAGAGTGCCTAAAGAAAAGAATTATCATTTCCCTCTTTTACATCAAGTGGCGGGTGGACCTCTCACTGTGCGGATAAATGTAGACCATGTGTTTGTGCCGAAGCCCAAACCCCAACAACATAATTCATTTATTTATTTCTGCACAATCAAGGAGGCCAGCGGGGCTGACATGCCACGGTTATTTGAATGGCGAGGGAAACGCTGAGCTGAGTCCTCAGCAGCGGTGCCCTTTCCGCCGTGAGATAGGCGGCCTGGACATGCTCACCTCCTGTCAGCCTGTTCATGCCACTGGGCTCCCCGGGCAGCTCACCATGGCTCCTGCCTGCTGAACCTGATCTGTCTTCTCAGGCCAGGCCAGGCATGTTTCCGGAACATGGGTTGAGGCTCCAAGCTTCTACTTAGAGGGTCCTTGGAGTTCAGGATAATGAGAACACCAGTCCTAGTCCTTGGATTGTTCTCAGCCTCACCAGGCAAGATGGCCGGACCAGTGCAGTGAAACTTGTCTAGTTTGGGTCTCTCTGATTTGGCACTGGTGCCCGTTAGCTCAAGATCTGGGCTTGCAGTGCCTTGCCTGTTCCTCATGTCTTCACATTCAGCTTCCTGAGCTGGTAGTGGTTGAGAGGGGAAGTTCGTGAGTCACCAGGAGGTCCCACAAAGGTGGCCAAAAGCTCTGAAATCAGAGGTGTGGGCCCTCCAGCCTTCGCTGCCATTGTTGCCACGCCCACAACCGGAGAGAAGGTCTGGGTGGAGTTGAGGAAGCGGGCCTGATGCATTGAGAGGGATGAGTGGTGAGGATGGGGATACAGGTGATGGACTAAAACTCTGTATCAGTTCTCCTCTCCGGCCTCCATGGGTTGTTTGACTTAGAACAGGATTTTTTTTAGGCCCGAACTTGCTGTTCCTACCTCATTGGCTTAATTTAGCCACTTTCTAGTTCACATTCCTCTGTGGATAAGAACAACTTGTCTTGGAGTCCCTTCAATCACTTTAGGAAATAGGTGCCTTGATTAAAGAAATTCTAGCCTCTACGTGCCCAGAGACCTGCACTTCACTGATGGCCTGGCTCAGGCCCAGCTCACAAGCAAGGACATCGCATTCCTTTATGTGGCTCCTTCAGTCCAGGCTGCTGGTCCGCTGCCTGGAGGAAGCAGAATGAGGCAACATGGAGGCAGCAGGGTGGCCTGTGTGGCTGCCTCCCTCCCCCAGATGTAAGCTTGTGTCTCCCAGGCTCTTCCACTCAGCAACTGGAGCCCAGGCCCAGGACTGTCACCAGGAGAGCTCCTCTGGCTTGTCCATCCAGCTCTGGTGGTTTCTTCTGCCGGGAGTTTCCCACAGGCCCAGGCTTGAGGCCTGAAGGCCTGGCCTCCGCTCCCTGGTGCTGATGTAACCCGGCCTTGGCAGGGCCCCACTGCACATGGGCTGGTGACATGCGCATGTTTTGATTTTGCGGTGCCTGCGTGAAACTAGAGCCACCTGTCAGGAACATGAGTAAAGTGGAGGTGATGCTGATTCTGCAGGGCTGTTACCACTGGGGAGAAGGAACTTCTGTCCAGCTTCCCGCAAGTCCCTGGAGGACCTTATCCCTGCACCAAGGACGCCTCTCCAGCCCAATTCAGCCCACTGCCAAGTTCCTATTTAGGAAGAGCCTGTGGGAGAGGCCTGGCCCGGCCCTGGTGTAACTGAAAACACATTTCCCTCCTGGGGTTATGTTTCTGTGCCGCTTCTGTCCAGGGCCAGCCCTCTGAGTTTGGGGGTAGCTCTCTGCATTTGGCCCTGTGACATTCAGGTGGTCTTTGGGTTGGAATTCGCTAAGCACATGACTTAGAAAGAGCGAGGCCTCCAGTCATCTGTTTTTCTCATTAACAATGGGACAGCCTTAAGCGCATGCCCACCGTTCTGCAGCATCATCTCTGTGCACTTGTCCTCAAATCCCAGGTCCTCCTCTGTCTCCTTTAGCTCGTAACAAACACTGCAGCGAAGCTCTCCTTAGGAAGTTTTATGTATTATCTCCCATTCCAGGGGAGCAAAGCCTTCGCTTGTTTTTATTTGGGGGCAGATGGAAAAGGAAAGCTATAAGTGGATTATTGTTTACAGAAATTGCTTCCTTCCCCAATATCCCCCATGTCCTATGCAGAGAATCCATCAGCACTTCCACAGGGACAGACCGTCAGATCAGGGTGCAGGGGGACCGGATGTGGCTTGGCAACACTTGATCCCTTGAGCACACTTAGCGGTTCTGGAAGCCGAAGGTGGGGTGTGAGCTCACCTCTCCCTTGCCTGAGGCAGGTACAATGTCTGTTTCTTGGTTCAGCAGCATGTACTATGCTCAGTCCCTCCTGAAAGAAGAAGGAGGAGGGATGAGACTGAAACAGGGATGATGTATCACAGGCACAGTGACTTCACCTCTAGACTTTTTAAGCCAGGACTGAAAGTGAAGGTGTGAAAGCTCAACAAAAGAGATAGGGCTTCTGGTTTGGAGCTGCCACTAAAGAGACCCAGCCCAGATACAGCAGGAAATAAGGGGGAGCACTCTCTTATCCCCTCAGCAATGTCCCTTTCAAAGATCCTCACCCCAAGGCCCCAAGTCATTGCCTCTGAAAGCTTAGCTCCCATATTGGATATGTTCTCTCTGAATAGATCTAAAATCTTGGAAATCTATTTATGTTTTTAGCCCACATCTTAGGGGTAATGATTTTTTTAAAGGTTGCACTTAACTTGTTCCACTTGAGGCATGCTTTCTACAGTTTCTGATGTGCTGGGATTTGTTTAATAAATCTATGTTAACTTTATAGCCAATACATTTGTGAAAGAGGCTCAGGTTGGCCACTCAGGGGGATCTCCAGCCCAGTGGCTTGTTGCTAGTGACAGGTTAAGCATTTGTCCATGACATCCAGTTTCTCTACCCAGAGTTCTTTTAAGGAGTGAAGGCAAATGTTTTGGTTCCTGTGACTTGTCAACACCTCCATTATCCACCAGGTCTGGAATGACCGGCTCACTGTCTGATCTCCCACCACCTGCCTTCTCCCTAGAGTCTTCATAAAGTCCAGGACAAGGAGTTGAGATAGCCTATCTTCCCCCACTTCTTCCCTAAAGAAGTGGCCACTCTTCCCCTCTATTTAGCTTCCTCACTGGAATATATCTTAAGATTCATTGATTTATTTTATTTTATTTGGTTTTAGAGTCTTACCATGTAATAGTTAACTTTCCAACATATCTAGTTACAAGTCAGGGCTTGACCTGCTATTTTTGTGAATTGTGCTATTATTCTTACTAGGATTAGCTGTCCTTGGACATGATAAATTGTGTGTGGGGGTGTTGTGTATTTAGAGGGTGATTAATTCTTAAAATGTCTTTTTGGTCCATGCTAAGTCTTGAAATTGAGCACGTTTAAATTGTTTCCAGGATTGCCAACTATTTTAACTCCACTAATCTACCATTTTATACACACACACACACACACACACACACACACACACACACATTTTCACACAGCCTAGAACATGGCAGGCATTCTGTAATTATTTCTTGGGTGGATAAATCGGTTATGAAAATGGAGAAATTATGTAAAATGCCTTTTAAATTTTCCCCTATTTTATAAGATTTGGAGTTGTGGGTGAAATTTACTTAATATTGATCAGAATGCAGTCTCCTCTGTCATATTTCCTATTTGTGAATGAGCAAGCACTAGGAAAATCAGACCCTTATTATTCAGCTTGTATATTGGCTGAGGTGGTTTTGCTGGACATAAAACCATTTGTTCATTATTGTTATTACCGTGTTGAGATAAACTTTCAGCAATACATAATCATAGCAATAATTGTAGCCAAGGGAATCATTTTTAATACTTTTATTTTGGGTTATGTTTATGTGAGTGTATGTGTTTGAATATATGTGTATATAAAAACACGGTTTAGGAGCTAGATATATAAATCAAGAATCTTTAATAATAGCTTAAGTATACTAGGTCCTAAGAATGTGCCAAGCCCTCCGCTATGATTTATATGCATTATCTCACTCAATTATTACAATGACCTTACCCAAACTTGGCACTGTTACTAATTCCACTTTAAAATGGCAGACACTGTGGGTTAAGACAAGTTGAGTGGCTTGTGTGAGGGCATAAAGTTGGAATGAGGAACTCAGTTGTTCAAACCCAGGCAAATGGGTTCCAGGACCAAGAGGAAATTGGATCAGCGATAAGAGGGAACTTAGCTAGTGCCCTCATCTTGGCACAAATCTTAGCTTTCTGTAATTTACTTTATGGAAACTATGGATTCAGTGGAAATTTCCTGTGCACCTACCACACTCCAGGCAGTATGCTACTCAGACTGTCAGCCTGGCTACGAGGTGCTGAGAAGCTTCCAGAAGCTTCTGTTCAGACTGGGATGTGTGGGCACATGTTTTCCCAGCCCCATCTGTGGCTCTTGTTGGCATTTCTCTCCGGCATCTCTGCAAGGGCCACGGTATCAAGGCAGATGAGGGGTTAGCCTAGGCTGGGATGAGTCAGGGTGGGGAAATGAATTAGGCTCTCAAGGCAGAACTGACTTCAGGCACTGCTGTACTTGGGGGTAAAGCTAATTGGCTTAGGGCGGGTGCCTCTGGGAGACAACAAGCAATTCCTGTTGGCTGATGGGCATGAGCTCTGCTGACCAGAGGCATTTATCCAGGTGAGGGAGGCCTTC